GAGCAGAGCTGAGACCCCCTTCCCGGCAAGGCTACAGCTGCTCATTTGCATTTTGCAGATGGTACTAAGCAACCACAGCATGCTGCATAAACCACTGCTCAAAATAAGATACTATAGTACGCGGACTATCAGTCTGTTCTAATATCAGCATTGCCAACTCTCATGATTTTCTCTCAAGTCTTGTGATTGGTGTTTTTATTAAAGCTCCAGTGTCTGGAATCAGGTTTTTAACCAGAGAATCTTTGCTTTCATTAAAAAAGTTGAAAGTTTCTAGTCCTTAAGCCTTCAGAGAGAAGCTGGACATCATGAACCCTAAAATGCCAATACCATAAGACAAAAAAAAATCCCCTGTTTTTGGAATTTCGTGATTTCTAAGCCAATCTCAGAATTTTTGAGCCATCCTTTGGGCTGGCAATGCTGCAGTATGCTATGCTGCTGCTGTGATGAACAACTAATACGCACTTGAGGATCCCTGATGAAGTTTTTTTTAAATCAATTTAGAAATCACCCAAGTTCCAATAGAAGAGTAAGTTTATTGGTTAATTTCCACCAAAGCTTTGAGAACTGCCATTCATTAGAATGTGTTTACCCTCTAAACTCCGTTGCTGAGTGTATGTAGAATTACAAAGAGCCAGACAAATGATTTGTCTTCTAGTAACAGCAGAATGTACTAATAAAACACCTGTCATATGTGACAGCCTGTGTACAAAAGTAGAAATGAACTATGGTTAGTACAGCATTCCATACCAGATGAAGTTCATTGAAAGAAATAGATTCCATGCCTAGAAATGGCCACTGAAGTTATAATGGTAACTAATCACCTCTATGTTAAGTTTCCAAGACACATTCTTCTAGCATTGCTCCAGGGGCTATTGATTTGATGAAGGCTCCACCCTTCCTGGTTATGTAATTCCCCCCCCCCCATGATTGCACAAGATTAAAGAAACTTGATAAAACATGTTAGTGAAGCATATCTATCACCTTCATTTTATTTGACTTCATAAAAGCTAACAAACATCAACAGTGGTGTCAAGTTCTGTTCATCCTGACCCAAAGCTTGCAATTGTAGCCATGCAAGCACAGAGGTCTGCCCACATGGATGTAATTGGAGGACCTGGTCCCATGTTACTACAATATGAACCTCTTATTAAAGACTCTTTTTACTATTAAAAATACACAGCAGCCATAAAGAAGACAGATAGAACTACACTATTTGATAGTATAAGCAAAGACGAAGAATGCTAAATGACAGTTCACTATAAAGTCCACTCACTAGACTCATAGCACAAGGGGTTCAATTTTTATTTATAAAAAATAAAATTCCCAATTATTTTCAAAATACAGAAAAAAATAAGTTAGTCCTGTCTATTCTCACTAATTCTGGAATAATTTTAAGGCAGCCTTGAAAGTCTCTTACTTTTGAGAAGACTGAAGGAATACATTCCAGGGAGATATTTAAAACCTCTCTTGCTGAAACTGACTCTCAGTTTGAGAGCTCTGAATACAACAAAATGTTAACTTTATTATTTGTAGTCACCAAGTAAGTGTTGGGTGTATTCTGTCAATTAAAAAAAAAAAAAAAGAAGGCAGTGTGCACAAACAAAACTGCAGGGATGACAGACAATAGTTACCCAGGCATAACTATCCTTTTATGCGTTTCACTTCAGTAGTTTTTAACAGGGTGCAAGGGGGGAGAAGTTATCCAGTCCCTTTGCACTGTGAATGGCTTATACCCAATGACATTCCTCGGAGCAAGAGTTGGTTTTTGTTTTCTTAATTTACAAACAACAACTTTATTACCAGCTCAATGTTACAATGTGAACACACCAAGGGCCATGCACGGATAATAAAAAGTGCCAGAGATGAGTATGCACCTCACATTATTAAAAGCGTGCAAGCTATTATCTACCCCAAATTTTACATTTCACAGACCACAACAGGATGACTAATACTTTTTGGAATGTACTGACTGATAAGATTTGATGACTAGGTTACAACTTTGGGGGGAGGGGAGAAAGCACTTCTCTATGCCCGGGTGAAGGAACGGGGCACGCACACAGTCAAATTACCAAGCTTTTCAAAATATATACATGCAAAAGAGCTAAAAATATAGTAAAGTTAAAGTCTGTTTCATTTTAGATCTAAAACTATTAAATATTTTAAAATACCTGTCACTATAGTCAGTAATACCTGTGAGGGATCACCATAGCTTTGTATAAAGTAGACACTCCTACCACACCAAACCCTATTACATTTAAGAAGTGATGCAAATAAAGTGTGGTTGTACTCTGGAGAATTACTCTGTAAGTGTCATCATTAGATTCCATACTTGTCTCTCAATGATTCCAGATCAGTTATTCTCTCATATATAAATAAATGAATGAATGAAAACTAAGGGACAGCCCTACACACTCAAGTAGGTTCTTTCCAATTTGCATTTTACTAATAATAAATATTTTGCAGGCCAAATTCTGCCCTCAGAAATACCTGTGCAACCCCCAGTTACCTTACATTGGCTTGTACAAATGAGACGGGATAATCAATTCTGTTGACAGACAAGCAAGAAGAGACTCTGAGTTGTATATTCTTTAGAGTGCTAACAGGAGTAAAAAGATAGCAGATATGATTCAATACACATCTGAACCAGATTAATGGGTAAATTGCCATTTTACATACTTTTCAAAGTAGAATTCATCTGTGTAGAAGTCATTAACAAGTGCTCTAAAGGCAACCTTTGACCCACATTTGCCTATTTGTTGGAGAGATTGAGGAGATTAAGTGGAGAAGGTACATTTTAAAAACTGCTCACTATTCTGTCTGATACATATGGGTTCCCTATGTAACTAAGTGACTTTGGTACTTTTGCTTCCCTAAACAATGGAGACTAGATAGGGTCACACTGGGGGAAAACGTAATATTAAACACAAGTAATGCCCACAGTCCCAAAGTATCAAGTTGTTTCTACAAAAATGATCAGCAATAAAATAATTATTGTTCAAATAGTTATCATTAAGCTTCAGAGTTAACACAATTTGAGATTAACTGAAGAGTTCACACACCTTTCAGACATACTGTTTCCAACTAATTTAAATAATGGATAAATTCACATTCATTAAGTTTTCATTGTAACCATTAAATTAATAAACTAGAAATTATTTTAACTGAAAGTTTAAATTGTACAGAAGCTGATGAAGCAACCCAGAAAAAAGTGCTGGTACAGTCAAGGCTTGGAATAATAAGATGACAATGTACTCAGTTTCTGTATAAAAAGGTTGAGGGAGGCAGAAGACACAGACTACAGTGATCTCCAGTAACCCTTTACCAATCATTCAGTGGAGCAGCATTGATTTCATTATGTTGATCATCCTGCCATGACAAATACACCAATTAAAAACTGGAATAGATATACCACACTTCAGCAAACAGTGATGCATAATATACCAAAGTGAACACCTGTGTTTACTGAACAGATAGCCGGTAGGTAAGAGAAGGGAAAAAAGTTGGACACATAAACAGAAAGAACAAGCAGTATCAACTAGACAATGTTTTCACCCCTCAGCTCACAGAGAACCTCCCACAGTTGACTCATTTTTGTCAGGATGCATATGGTTAAGGAGGGGCAGAGGAAAAGACTTTGAAAATGGCAGTTTCCTATTGGGTGTTATTTTTAAAGATTGGTTTTATTGAGCACTTTACTCTTCAGATATAGTAATTAAAAATAAGTATAATGTATATTACACCTGAGCCATTGCTCTAAATCTGGCTTCCACAGAGTCATCCCACTTTTCCTCGCGCTGATTTGGCCTCTACAAGAGGACAAGAAGGCCAGCTCAGCCTAAAGAAGAACAGGAGGACTTGTGGCACCTTAGAGACTAACAAATTTATTAGAGCATAAGCTTTCGTGGACTATAG